GCTGTACTCGTACTCGTTAAGACACAGCACGCAGTCTGCCTCGCCACGGTACCAACACAAGCGATGTACGCTCCTCCCTTCCACCCACAATTTCAATAGGGGTGTCAAAGCTGGCAGGATTTTTTGATCCCAATAAAACCACGTGCAAGGAGGCTTTGAGGCAGCTCTGCAATGCAGCCCTACTCACACAGTTACCAGAAATTTAGTTTTGAGTTGTATTTTGGGATAGTATTTCAACCCTGGGACTTGTTCACATCCTCACTGCCGCCTCCAAACCGGCCCAGGACCTCCATGCTCAAGGTCACAGCTCAGACATGGACGTGCTCAGACAGGACAGCGGGGGAAGATGCACTTCCACATGAAAACAGCTTTTAACACCAGTCCACAAGCCATCTGCAGCCACCCCTTTTAGCATCTTCATCCAAGTCTGACAAAGGTAAACGGTGGTCCACTGTTAAAAGGAACTGCTGCACGAAAAAGCACATACTAGCAATGGCCATCCTGTCCCGACATGCTTCCCTCCTGCTCCGCATCGCCGCCCTGCAAGTGCCACGCAATCTCACCGAGCCAGACAGACCTTCAGGCGCTTTCTTAGGAGAAAGGATAGAAGCACGTCTTTTCCTTGTCCTCCACACAAGACAATGAAAATCCTGCAGTCTGTCAAGTACAAATCCCAAATACAACTGGGCATCCTGGGCACGTGCTAATTCAAATTGCTAAACTGAAAGATTGCAGTAAAGCTAATCCCGTATCTGATTTACCTTCACTGCCCAGTGAAGAATGTGCAAGTAAAATAAAGCTCCCTCACTCTTACTCAGTGTTATGATGACCTTTGCGAAGATCAAACAGCTCAAGCACACTTATCAGTGACTACGGGCAAGCTCACACCCTCGGGCAGTGAACCGACACAAACCGAAGCAGCCTCAGCTCGCACTGAACTGTCCACAACCAAGCACCAGGGCCAGCCCAGCTCACCACCTCTCCTGCAGCGCACCCCAGCAAGCCGATGGGTTTACTGCTCCCTGCCAACACGGAAGACACGTCAACAGCCGTACGACTACCCAGAGTGAGACACTGCACAGGGGACAGCCACGCAGCACACCTCAAGTCCTCACATCTATTTTCTTACTTTGAAGTTGTAATCGTTGCTGAAATATAAAAAAAAAAAAAACCACAACCACCAACCTGTAAGCTCCTACTTGCTTGAATGAAGTGACAGCATGCTCCAACTCATCTGTCAAACACCTGCATTAACCCCTGCAGCCCTCCGAACTTCAGTCCTGGAGAAGTGACCAGCCTACGTGCCCCAGCCACGCTGCCGGCCACAGCCCAGCAAAGCGGGGGCACTGCACTCCACTGCGAGGAACAAACCCAAGGCCACTTAGTGAGAATAGCTTTGTTAGTCTAAGTCCTCTTCTTGCACTGCCTTTTTTCACTGCTGTCAGGTATTCCACCTGTGAAAATAACGTACGTAAGGCAGACAAATAAGCTACCCCCAGACCGGTCTCTGGGAAGGCAGTGAAGCACTGTTCCCCACCTCCGCACAAGGCCACTCGCACTGCCAGCTGCACAGAAAGTGCACAAGATTTTTTTTTTTTTTTTTTTTTGCAAAGTACCAGCTCTGCGATTTCATTTTTGGAGTCTAGCAGCTGGTTCCAAGGTTTGGTCTCCAGCCCGTTGCACAGACATCTTCCATCTTTAAGGCTGGCTTGGCGTCACTCAAAGGCAAACGTTTCACTCGGACTTGGGTCAGACATCCAAGACAACAGAGCTCCATTTTCATGGCAACCACCCTGGCAAGAGGATTCTGGCTGGGCGTCACAGACAAACCACTACCTGAAGTCAGCTGCATACAACCAAATTAGATACCCATTACCAAAGAAAGGTATTTTTAAAAAAAGGCAAAAAACCCACTATTTTGTCAGTCATCTACTTCTGCATATTGACCTTCAACTACAACGCATGGACAACAGAATGCTAGAATGCATTTTCTTCTTGCTCTTCAAGTCTCTAGATCAATTCCCATGTGGGGCTTCCCATAAAATCTTACTCCAACTCCAAGAGACAAATAACATCATTAGTAGGACAACGACCAAACTTTTTCACTCCTACCTGAAAGTCTCCCAGTAAGGGCAAATGAACCGTTTTCCCCACAATCAGGTTGCACACACACACACCCCCCCCCAACAAGAATATTACGTTTAGTTTTTCTAGCGCAGCACCCAGTGCAGCGGGGGACTTGCCAACCACTGCGTTGGGGCACTCGGCGTTCGCTCAAACACACCCCGACCTGGCTGGGAGGCTGTCATCTGGCGAAGGCAGACCAGAACAGGAGTACAAAATGAAGGTAACATGGTCCTTGTAATGATTTTAGAAAAGAAGCAGGTTAGCAAATGCTGGAAGTGTCAGCTTTAGGCATATGTCCTGCGTTTATTAAAACAAGAGGCGTGGCTATGCAAACCAATCTCCATGGGCAAAGAGTCATTACAAGTAAGAGTGGTCTCAACTCCTCGAACTGCAAACACCATATATTCACACCAACTTCTGATGTTTCAGAAGAATTTATGTCCTTTCCCACACGGCTAACACTTGCATTTATTTATCAGTCTCGTTTCCTCCCAGCATTAGTGGCATTCAATCTGTAAGATGAACTTTCATGCTCAAACCTTGCCATCGTTACATTCTAAAGCCAATTTGCACCATGTGCTTCTCTCCGCTTCCCTCCAACTTTTTCTGCTGGCCACCTTTTTCAAATTGTTCAGATTTTAAAAGGTCTAGTCCTCTAGATTTGGCATGACAGCACAAGTAGCAAGCAAGAGGACAGAAATGTTACTAAAGACCAAGCTCATTAATCGTAAATAAGCTACTCGGAGGGAGACATTTTCCCAAGGCAAAGTCCGTTCCTGGCAATGGAAATGCCCAGGCACCATCGCCACAGACAGACTGGACCACTTGGGGCAGAACCTAGATGAGATGCTATTAACCTAAGTGGTTTCATCTCCATGTGTTTTCATGACATTTTTAAAAGAGCATGAAAATAAACCTTTATTTCAGTTAACACCCACCAATATTAAAGATATATGTTCACAGTTTTAGTTCTTGACACAAATGGACTGAAAGAGGCAAATTTACAGCTATCAGAACAGCAGACGGACCAACTGGAAGTACAAGCTGTCTTGAAAATCATACGTGACATGCCATTCGGGAAACTGCTCTGTGCTCTAAAGCAGGAGAAGGGAAAGCTTCTGACCAAGTCCGGCTAGCAGGGACCCAAATGACTGACTGGCTGGTCCAGAAGTCATCTGGAAAAAAAGCTGAATGGCAACTGAAGCAGCAAATATACAGTTTGGATAACGGGAGGAGGGTTTATGTTACAGAGAAAGCTTTTTCGCAAGTGTGTTTCTGCATATCACGGCATTTGTTTAATTGTATTATCCAAGGTGTCCCTAACACTGAAACTGCAACACAATCTACCAAAGCACAAAGGGAGAGGGAAGAGGAACAACTCAGTGCTGGACCTCCAACAGCCCACACACTGAGCACCTGTGTAAGATCTGCTTAGAGTCAGCAGAAATGAACCAAGAGATTTTACCATCCACTGTTTGAAAACTTGCCTCCTTCTCACAGCCTGGAACTTTAAACTATAGGTGAGTGCACTAAAAAGTCTAATCCAATGATATTAACAGTGGTTTACAACAAAAACGTTTGTAGAAAATAGTTCAGATAAAGCAAGCCAGCTAAACACCACAGTTAAGGAGTTTGATATTTCATATTCAAAGGTCTCCAATACTTTTTGCCTGTCCTGTACAGCTTTTAAAAAAATAGGGCGTTACCTTTTGTTTTCTATCTACCTAGTTAAGAAACTACAAATATGTTATAAGCTGTCCAAAGTGTAAAACATTAAATAAAATGAGAAACCTGTTTCTAGTCTCCTAACAAATGCTGCAGATAAAAACCCTAAGAAACCCTCTTTATTAGTCATTCTCTCAACTCCTTTTGTGTACTGAAGTGGTAATCCTGTTCACAGGGATTAAATTAAACCTATGGCAAATTTCTACAGGGGTAGAAAGGGTTTCTTACAATCGCGCTCTGAAAAACATTCATTTGTCAGCTAGCAATCAGATCTCAAACACTGCACAAATCCAGAACAAAATTTTGATGGAGAGGTTAAATGGTGGGGTTTTGTTTTGCATCTCTTTGTTGTATCGCGCACAGATTACAACATCCCTGTCCGAAACGGTAAGGCAAAACTCCCTCCTGCCAGACCCAGCCAAGGCCTGTGGTTTCTTCTTCAGAAGACCTGCTGCTGTCGGAGCAGTGCTGTGAATACATCAGGCAGTGATGTACTCGTGTCAGACTGTGCTGCTAAATTCCAAGTCCCAGCCGGAGTCCAGCCAGACTACCAGAGAAACAGCTACCAGCTTCCCCCACCCCCCAGCTCCAACAACAGGAAAGGTTACTCCAGGCTACAGGGTACCCTCTCAAAGAAAAAACATAGGTAATTTAAAAACTCTTTTTTGCCAACAAAGCATCTTGTTCTGTTGAAGGGAGGAGGAGGGAATAAAGGTAAAAAGGGTGAGTGAAAGGTGTAGTACATTAATTTTAAAAAACTGTTTAGACCAATTATCCACACATCATTGCTGGATCAATACACAGGTATTTAACGATAAACCAATGTGCTTTGAAACTTTTTCAAGTATCTGGTATCAATTTTGTATAAAGATTTTGCGTAAACAAACTACCAAACATCGATGAAAAATGACTGTTTTTCCAAGTCTGAAATTAAGCATTAAAACTAAAATACTCCAGGAGTTGTATTCCATACAGCACTAACAGTCTGCCAAATTAAAATTTCACATATTCCAAAAAGACCATGGGCTGATAAAAATCTGCTAAACAGGAATTAAGGAAACGGAAATAGTGTGCAATAATTAAAACCCAGTTTGTTGTTTGGGGAAAATGTCTAAAATCCTGAATTAAAAAAACACAAATGAAGTGAAAGCTTTTAACTGGTACACACTGTTCACACCTATATTTCAAGTTTGGAAACGCATATTTTCAAGCAGCAATACAAAAAAGTATCCATGAAGAATGCATAATCTCTGAAAAAATTATGAAAACATCCCTGCTACCATTACATTTCTAAATACAAAACTGACTACCATATTGTTGCTTCTGTGTAGCGAGAGAAGTTCATTTTCAAAACAGATAAAATTCAGTCTTTAGGTGTGAATGGTATGAATGACAGTCTCCAATGACAGGCTCCTTTTTTTTTTTTTTTAAATTTCTTAGTTGTTTAGGATCCTTAAGCATGCAAGCCTCGGAGAGGAAGGCCCGACGAGGGCAGGGTTGGCTTATGACATCCAGTTTAGGACAGAGCTGGGAAAGCCTCTGGGTCATCTACATCAGGAGCAGAAGCACTTGACTGAAAGAGAAACATCAGAAAGTTATTACCTTCAGCGGCACGAAGCCCTCCTGCGTTTCTAATTCTTCACACATTACCAAGTCCTTCCATTCGCCAGGCAAACACGGCTCAGCGCACAGCGGAGCCGGGCAGTGCGAGATGTTAGCACCGCTCAACTGCGGGCACGTGCTGGGGCCTGGCCAGCGGGCACGGGGACAAGGTTAAGCCTCCGTCCCTGTGCAGACAGACTGGGCGGCACTTGCACGGGGCAGGGGCAGCTGCAGGCAGGGGGACACCCAGCACCCCAGACAAACAGGGATGGGAATTCTTCGTTTTTAAGAACTACTTTAACGTGAACCCTGTTCAACAGGGAAATACCGGGTTTCAAAGAGGTACACACTACAGCAGAGTAAGCAGTCTAGTTCTGGACAAATTACTACAGGAGCAACTTTTTTCCCCCATGACAAGCAACACTTTTTTTATTCCAAGGACTAGAAAGTTTCCTATACTACTTTTTCAATCAAAGCTATCTGAAGAGGCATTATAGGCAAACAGACCATGTTTGCACATAATTATCACACAAGAATACATCTTTTTTTCCATTCTTAAAGAGATCCCTACACATGGGCTTATGCTATTCTACCAGCACATAGCCACCATCAATTCTTATTGAGGGACGTGACTGAAGTGTTACAGAAAAGACCTGTTTGTAGCACAAATTAAAGTTTCAGACATTTAACTTCTCCCAGTCACGCACTAGATGTTGACGAAAATAATTTTTGTGCCAGCCTAGCCCTAGAAATTCACACACATTAACTAAGAATCTCCTCAGTACTTCCCTAACAGAATTTTTTTAAAAGGCTCTGTACCACACCTAAAAAACAGTGCTACAATGAAATGTAGAAATTAAGTATTTTAGAATACTTCCATGAGGGATGTGGAAGAGAAGAGCAGGAAGAGCCAGGATAGTGGAATTTCCTGTAAATATATTCATTTATCAAGACAAAGAGATGTATTTAAACCATTCCAATAGAAGTTGTATCAACCTCTATAGGCAAGACTAAGACACTGCGGAAGTACCCAGCCCACAGAGTTAAAAAGTAACAGCAGGGTCTTAAGCCTATAGCCTTACTATCTCCAGTTGCTCACTACACAAAAGCAGAAAGCAAGCCAAAAAAAGCCAATCTGCTGCAGGAGGGGAGTTACAGTCCCTGCAACAGGAGGGCCTTGCTCACAGGTAACGTAAGTGCCAGCAGAGATCACCAACCTGGTTGGGTGTGTGGATCACGTCAAACTCCTTAACCAACTGGAAGGAAATAAACAAAGTCAACATAAAATAAGCTGCAGATCTCAAAGTCTTTAACTACTTTATGACAGCATTCTTGAAGAAGCAAAATGCCATGTTAGTAAAACAACTCAGAGCAAACACCACCACCATTTAATACCAATTCCTTAAAGTTTTCTTATATTGATATCAGGAGAGAGTTTTCCAGCTAATAAGCCTAAAACTTAAAGTGATCCAGTGTAAAAGAGAAAACAAAGTCAGTGTCCTACCCAAGAAAAATAAGCAAGTCTGGTCTATGTGAAGAAAGCCACACCACACAGACCGAACTCATTTTCTAGTGAGCAACAATTTGATTAGATGCATTTGAGCCGAATAAATGATCCATATTAAATCAAATCTTTACTGTAGCTATACTACGGTACTTCAACTTTACATGTTCTCTCCCCAACCCCATTCAGTACTTAGTCCTGAGTATTTCCTTAGGGCTTTAGGACTAGGAGGAAAAAAATTATTGCAGATTAGGAACAAAAAAAACCACAGTAAGAGTCCTATTTCCACATGAAAACTCTGAACTCCTCAAATTCAAGATATAACACGCAGCCAAAAAACCAGTCTTTCGCCCCCAACAGGTCACAATGCAGATACACTGTCCTGACTGTGTCTGAAAATAACTGCTCTAACACTTGCGGTTCTCCTCTGGCACAAACAGAAGCATCTCATAGTACATTCAGACCTGTCCACACCGAAGAGTCATTTTTTGGGGTTTAGATACTACCTTCAAAGACGGACACCTTTTTTTTTAATCCAACCTACTGCCCACCCTCTCTTTTTTGTGTTTAATAAGAACACTGCTAAAACATTCATCCTTTTGTCCTAACAGTAGCCTCGTTTAAAGTAAACCTGTAAGAATAGACACTTTACTTGTTTAAAAGGCAGTGTTTGTTGTCAGAGCAACTCCCTCAGAAATAAGGAAGACACCTGAAACTATCTGTATGAAAATCCTAGTAACAACTGAAACTAAACTCCTTTGTAGATGAAAGCTGTAGCTACTTACCTTGTCAGTTCTGCCTCCACGGCTGGCCCTGCCACCACGCCCTCGGCCACCCCGTCCCCCTCTGCCACCACGTCCGGGGCGGCCGAGGTCTCCAAAGTTGATCTCCAGCTGGGATGTAATATCATTTGCTGGCTTGCGGAAGTGATGATCCATTACGGAGTCCTCAGCATGAGCCTGAAATGAGTGTTTCTCCATGAGTAAGAAAAATCACCACAGAAACTTTTTCATCTGTAGTTGCACTTTTACCACCACAGCATGCGTGTTCACCTCCAAATGCACTCCCAAATTGATGACTGATTACCTTGATTGATTCAAGTTAAGAGAGAGTGCAGGAATTGTTAGGAATCAAGTTATACCACTTGTGCAGACAACAAAACCACATATAGGTAATCAAATAAGCACTTGAGCAAACGAAGATATTTTGCATTTCCAATATAATTCAGGGAAGCTCTGGAGTTCCTTCAGAGGAACACATTTAGGCTTATCTGAGATCAAACTGACTATCACCAAGCCAGTGCAGCATTCCAGTATTTCTCCTCTTCTCACTTTGTACCCTGAGAAGTCTTCAGGTTCTATCAATTCATTTCATTCTTTTTAAATACTTACTTGGTAACCCATCTTTATTTTGGTCAATGAGTACTTTACACTTTCTCATTTGCTTAGCCCTGTATAAATATTTAAAACAAGGGAGATGGTAAGAATCCCTTATTGGTTTGTATTAGCCATAACAAACAGCAATGGAGACATAAATAGTTCAAACACTTGGTAACTGAAGTAGCCAAAACATTAATGCTGAAACAGAGAACCAGCCTCACCAATACACTGAAAAATATGACTCTCACCACCTTTGCCATGGTACAACAATCTCTTACAGCTGGTTGGTGCCCAGTGAGAAACCCGAGCCTCGAGGAGCAAGGTGCGGGCTGAAGAGTTACATCTAACACCATAAATGCTACTATTCAGCACATTTGACTATTTCAAATTATTACACATTCAACACAAAAAGAACCAAGTGTTTTTAAATTAATTATTTTTCCTATTTTGCACAAATAATTTTTCCAGGTAGTAAGTCAGTTTTTGGCACCTACGATGATACACGAAATGTCAAACTGACCACACTGGATCAGACCAAGGGTTCATGTAGTCCACCCTAGCACTCTGCCTCTTACAAGGCGCAACCATCATGTTTTGGAAATGTGACAACATACCACTCTTTCTTTTCCTATAACCACCTAATTTCTGGCACAGCAATTTTCAGTTTGCTTTTTTTCCCCCCCTACAGAAGTGCCATGTGCAAGCTTAAGCCTCCTGACTCTAACTTACTTTTTGTGTAGTGTAATTACACAATATGCTGACTTTCAAAGGCAACATACTGTGCAATTAAGCATTGTACCCTTTAATTACCATTTGTGGATCCTTCATAAGGCAGCCAATGGACACACAGGTCTGCAGTCAAAAGGCTGAAAGCTGCTTTCAGGGATTCCTTGAGTCAGTCACAAGCACCACGATGTAGAGAGCCATAAAGAGCATTCTTCCCTGCCAATCTAATTACCCCTTTCTGCGCCCAGTTGTACATTTGGCCTCCACAACATCCTGCAGTGGAGGGCACTGCAATTTAATTAGGCACAACGAGAAATACCTTTCCATGCTGCTTTATTTCAAATATATTTCACTGAGATTCATTCCATGTAACAACTGGTCCCCACCCCACTGCTGATTTTATAGATTTGAACTGTAGACCCTTCCCTCAGAGATCTCTTTTTTCAAACTTAGGAAGTTAGCCTAGGCAGTTATTTTTCAGAGAAAAGTCATTCCACATCTCAGCCGGACACTCAAATGTAAGTACACCAACAATTTTTAAAACAGTACACAATACCTTTTGCTATGGTTTTGACTCCTTTCTTACTACTTATCTACAGTTTTGACTGCTGCAGGGTACTGAGATGATATTTTCAACTTATTGGTAGTTGTAGAACATTCTCATTTCTAAGAGGTAGTATCGGCGGCTTTGTACAATAATTCTGTGCATTTCCTCCCCTACACTGCTATTGCTTAAAAAAGAAACACTACAGTCTACCAAAACCATTGTATTTTCACAAGTTAACTTTGGTTTAACCCCTAAACCCAACAAATAGCGAATTCTATACATAACCTGATTATTTCTTTATCCAAAATAACTAAATTAAAGCTAATTTAAAACACCAATAAAAGACTTGGCATGTTCTCCTCACACTCTTCTGTCACTTAGGTGACAAATCAAAGACATACCGTACAAATTGCTTATTCTGAATCATCTTCGGAAGCATTTAATTTGTATGTATTGGCAACTCTCAGTAGTGATCTGATCTAATAACTGGTAGCTTCTCAAAGGCATTGCTGCACCTATGGGTCTTGGGGAAGGCTGTCAAAAATTAAGAACAAGCTACTAATGGAAAGGGGGCCAAAGCAGACAGTGAGATATGGAAAAACAACAGCAACAACAAAAAAAAAGACTCATGATAGAAGCATTTATGATAAGGTTTGAATTCAGCTCAATTAGAAGCAAGGGTACTAACTATGAAGGGTCCTACATGGTGCACAGTTAAGACAACAGGCATGGACAGAAGAGCTTCATATTGTATCTACTTGTATTCTCTATTTTTGTGACTTCTTAATATCCAGGCCTTCACTTCAGAAGGGGCTCATATCAAAACACAGGTATTACCAGTTAGATATAAAGGATCAGTACCTCATTTGACTCCAGCAGACTCCCCTGCATTTCTGTCATCGCCTTTGTCTGATGAAAGTTGCGTGTCCACGCCAAAGTGACAAAAGGAACAAAGGGAGAAAACAAAAGGAAGAAATGAGACTCAACTACATACAGAAACAACAGGTAATAAGGTCACATGAACTTGCCGGATACAGATGTCACTGAGCACATGAAGCAGCAAAAGGATGAGGTCAACAGCTGTGCAAGCATCCAGAAAGACTAGAGGATGGACTACACCACAGGCGTGGAGACAAGAGAAATCTCAGATCGATACCAAAAAAGTTTAACACAAGCTGCTGGAAACTCTAGTAGAGACCACACATGCAGGCTGATCTCTAGCACCTCAATACATCAGGCTCACCGCGTACAGAACTAGAGAGATAAGAGGGTGGGATGTTTAAAATTATTGCTAATGAGAAAAGGTTTCTGCGCAGCCTTGATTCAAGTCATTCCTCCAAATTTTGAGAAGATGAACTATTATTTTCTGAAACATATTTCTCAGTCTCCCATTGTAACTTCCTCTAAGGAAGCAATCAGATTAGCAAGAAAGTTAGAAGGCACAGGAAAGAGGCATAGCACAGCAGATACAGAGTAGGAACTGATCTACTAGTGTATCAATCTTTCCAGGAGAGTTGCATCCAACTTTCTGAACACATTTTAAGATCTCTCCACAATGTAACTCCTTCCCATTTTTCGTTCAGCTGCACCAGCAGAACTTAAGACTCAAGCCATTAAACCAGCCTGCGGAGAAGGAAAAAAAGAGGATCTCTCTTTTATGGCATAATCCAACCTCCTGGAAAGAATCTCATTAGACTAGGGCTGCCAATACACTAGCAGGAATCCGAGACAGTATTAAGAATTCATTTTATACAAAGTATCACTTTCTAGTAATTGCATAGCAAACGTGAAAAAGAGGAAAGACCTCAGAGAGGGTCAAGCGTTTCACCACTCAGTGAAGAGCGCAAGGAGGAGGAGGAGGACAGCTCTTCCACAAGACTAAGGCACATGAACAGTACTAGAGCCTTTTCCCACAGACTCCTAGGACATTCTCCCAGTACTTCTCAAGCTACAGGAACGAGGGTGGTCATCACAACGCTTCAATCCAAATTTCTGAGAAAATCTACTGGGGCGCATTGTGATTTTTCAGCCGTAAGAGTACAGAAGATTTGGGCCCGAAACCCACAATTTACCTACAAACCAAGTCACTTCCACACATCAACTCCCTTCTTATCAATAAGAATCACAGAAACCTTACATCAACCTTAATTTCATGAGTCATAAGTATGTCCAAGAGGACAAACAGAAAAAGAACAGCAGGTGATTGGTAGGTTTGGTTCATAACTTCTAAATATTCCACCTTCTAAACCTGCTCACAAAGGAGCCACAGCGAAGGCTTTCCTAATGCCTGTACTATAGAGCTATTCTGCTATAATACTTTGCAAAAAAAACCCATGCTGCTTCCCATGGGATCAGTGAACAATGTATAAGTTAAATGGGGCGAGACATCTGCTGGACATACAATAAAAGCAGGCTAAAAGCATCTCCATTTAAAGGCAGTTTTGTTAATATCTCACTTCTGTGCTTACACAGCAAGGAGCTGCTAACTTCTTACGTGGTAGTGTTAAAAATATCTGACTCATTTCTTTGAAGAGAAGTTAACGAGATACACCTCTCAAATAGAACAATCTACTAATTATGTCAGTTCTTCCATGAAAGTAATTTGATTAGTTATTCTCATTGGTTTTGTTTGGGGTTTTTTGAGTTAACTACCGATTCATCCTTTTGAATGGAAAATACAGTATGGATCTTTCTAGCTTCTGAAATACTCAAGAGTACCACCATCTTATTATACTACCGCACAGGCAGATATGTTAAAAAAAGACTGTCTTCAGCTGACTAAATGTCAAATGTCAATAAATTGGGGATGAGAGAACTTGAAGGACTACAGGTTTAGTAAATCTTGGTAAAGCACATAAATATTTCTGTTTAAATATACTCTTTTAATATACAGCAACATTAAGTCTAACTCAATGTCCCTTTTCTACACAAGCCAGAGAAAGCAGTATTTAACGAACACTTCAAACACTGAACAGCTTAAGGTAAACAAAAAGATATGCAATCATTTAAAGAACTACCCTATACAGCAAGAAAAAAAGACAGCATGATTGTCAAAGTCAAACTGAGTTCAATGATATTAGAAATGGAGTTTTCATTGGAAAGTACTGAATAGTGCCTCCCCATCTGTATTACGCCCCCAGCTTACAAGAAAAAACTGACAAGGTGTGAAAAAGCAGAAATACATATTAGAAGACCAGACAGCATACTATTTAGTTACTTCGAAAGGAGCCAGAACCATCTGGTATACAAAGTTGCAGGCCACCAATTAACAGTGGGCCACTTCAGATATTACACAGTGTTAAAAACAAAGATTAAAAACAAAGATTAATGCAGGCCTGCATTAGAAAACAGAACTCTCAGCACTTCTCTCCCTGCTGAAGTGAAAGAGTATGTCTCTCCTTGCCACTCTCACTATCTTGGAACAGAATAATTAAAATTTTGCAATGACTGAAATGAGTATGCTTGAGAAACTACAATTTTAACATAATTCTACAGCAACTATGCTGAATCACTGGAGCATACAAATGTATTTCACCTGGTTTCTCAAAAGCTTCAAGGGCACTTGTCTGTATAATATTACAAAATGAGACGATACCTATCTTACAAACTTAAGATACACAGTTAAGGTGTCTGAGGCATGACCAGTATTTCTTCAATCTTACATCGCGGTTAGCAACCACCCTAAAGCTGTGTACTGCATAAAAAGCAAAGAAATAAATTTGATATTGACAAACTTTTTCTAAAACGCTCACCAAGAGACAGTCCTTACAAAGTTACCTGCCCAGATGCAGCAGTATTCCAGTCTTATCTCTAGATTATATCACAGTATACACCAACCTAAGGTACAGATCAACTGCTAAAACTAACCACAGAGAATGGCTACTTAGGCTACTGCATAACTTCAGTTTTATTAACAGAAATGTTGTTCCTACTTTATAAAATTTTAGCTACAGGTCAGCGTCCCAAAGAATGGAGCTTCCACTCCAAGAACTGCGTATCAGTACAAAAACCTATACAATCTGGATACAGGCAAATATTGAAAAATCACTTTACCTCCTCGCTCTTTGACTTGTGAAGAACAAATCCTTTTTTCCATTGCCCATCAGCACCCTCATTTGGTTTACGGATGTTGAACTCAACTTTTGCACGATCCTTACTTTGAATAGCTTTCCACTCGTCCAGGGTCATTTCCTTAGGACCTTCTTCCTTAACTTCTTCAACCTCATTCTCTCTGTAGTAGATTCATGGATATTATGATCATGACTTAGAACTCACATTCTAGATACAATTCAACATCAGTAGTTAATCAGCACCAGATTATAAAAAAAAAGTTTGACAAGTATTTAGCAGTTAAGAGGTGTATATAAAAAAACGTCACTTCCACCACTCTGAAAGCACACACGAAAACTCACATCCTTTAGCCAGAGTGCCAAAAAAAAGAAACAAAACCCACCTTGCAGCCAGACACCTTTAAGCAACTAAATGGTGAGCACAGCACAGCAAAACGTTAAAATTAACACTGACCCGTGCCATCTATTCTCCACATTAACGACAATTTTCTTTACAAAGATGAAAGCCCAACTTCTGCAATGGACCTGTTTGGAGCTTCCCCCTGCCCCTCCTTTTTGATACCTCTCTCCCAAAGGTTCAAGTTAAGGCAGTGAGAGAGAGCTTATTCTTATCACAATTTTCAAGCTTCTTAGTTTTTTAAAAACCAGAATTTAATGAGCTTTGGATAGTCTGCTTCCTTTATTAAACCAAAGACAATTACTAATTTCCCAGCTAACTGAAACAATTTTTACTTTCAGCTAACTTGAAAAAACAACAAGCATGCATGCAACTTAGTTACTTGTGCGATACATCACCTCATTGTAAATCTCTGGTGCCTCTACCTTCTGCCAAAGAGCTATTTTTAAGTAAAACACACAACCACTACGCTCAATAACAGATCATGTTCCAATTGCACAGGCAGTCAATCTTCTAGTCATTCTTCAGTGTGTTTATGCAACTGAATTTCTGATTTACAGAAAACCAGTTCCATGTATGTGCAGCAAAAAGATGACGAAAGCCTCAACTTAAGAGAAAAGATCTTCATTTTGTAACCATTAATTTTGATGTAATAATGCAGAGGTTTTACGTCAAAATTACTGTATTTCAATGTTTTCTCATTCTGTAGGACAGAATGATTTTTGACATGGTATATATTCAGAAGCATTTTTTTTTTGTTCAAGGCAAAGGTATTACGCCTTGGCATTCTGCACACTTCACTGCCGTAAAACATCCTACAGTTCTGCTGAAACATTTAGGTTAGAGGTCCATACCAAACTAGCCAATGTGAAAACTAACCCGTATAAAGACGCTTTTCTATAAAGATAACTAATGGATTACAACATATGTGTTATGCTTGAAACTGAGAAGAGTACACATTTTCTGCAGATTTGAGGACGAAAAAACATACAAATAGCCTGCAGAATTTTGCAGGTAACTGATCTGCACATGGATGGGTCAGTATCTCGTCAAGCACCAGGACACTCCTACTAATAAAGGTCCAGGAAATACTGCAGACACAAGAAATTTAATATATCCAGATTTCCAATACATGTAATTTTTTTTAAGGACTAGCTAGCTTGCATTTTCTGACCAATGCTCAAGCTGTAATTCCTTAAAAATTCTCATACTACTTCTGTATACAAGATGACCTTAACCTTAGACCACCACAATCTTGGAGAAGTAATAGCATTTAGTCTTTTTTTAGTTAAACTAAATCCATTTCTTACTCTCTACGCAGTAATTGTACCCTCTTTACCACTAACCAAAGTTATTGACGAGGAAATCAAGCTATAGCAAACTCCACATTAGAAATCTTGGGCAAACAAGTATTTCAAAATTCTATCTTACCTGTTTGCCATTTTCTTTTGAATTCACCATAAAGCACATTCCTCATTAAAATAAAACATTTTATTTATGGTACTACGCTACCATAAAACTTTGTATCACGTTTTTACATCAACTGTATATATCACTACTGCCCATTCTGCTTCTCTAGTTACTCTAGTTAATTCATCCAGTCACTGGTTTCTTCTGTAACAGTGTCCAAGTGAAATGAGAAGCAATCAAGTTTACTTCTTTGAAAACTGCCTGCATACACAGAAGCCAGAGAATGAAAGAGATACAACCTTTCTTCTACAGGCTAGTCACACGGTGTCAACAGTTGTTTTGAAAAACTAAGTTTAAAAAAAGTTGCCTTCCACTGGCAGAAGAACATTTTGTCCCTTTTGCTCGGTGGTTCTACCTAGTTACAAGCATAGATGCTTTTGGATTTGGTACTTCAAGAGTTGCGAGCCCGAGACCCTAAGCATATTAGAACTGATTATTAATAACTAAATCTGAAAGTGACCTAAGAGCCTGCGTGACACTAACGCACAGTTTCAAGATAACAATTTTTAGACATGCAGTTTTTAAAGAGACAGTCCTTCAGCAGCACTGTGCATAATTTAGTATCTACTGAAGAAAATATAATCTGAGTTTGGCAAAACAGAAGTAGGAATAAATATCAGAGGTTAAAGGCAAAGTAATACTACCCTTGAAGCAATCAAAGAACATTAAGAGGGGTGGTACTCACTTATTTTCAGAATCAGCAGGCGGATGTTCCTCTCCCTCTGGCGTTTCCTCAGTTACAGCTGACTGATCCAATTCACTGCAATTACACAATGTTCGGAGTTTTGTTTTTTAAAAGTTCATCCCTATTTAAAGCTACATAAGATTAACGACTAAGTTCTATAGTGGATTTACACAACCCACTCTTCTTTCAAAACAACGATTTCATTAAGAATTGGTGCTCTCTGTGCCTTTTAAATTCTATGCTTTCCACCTTCCTAATGGTTTTCCCTAACACTTACTAGTACCCATTCTGAAAGCCTCCCGCTGTACCTTGAGACACAAAATGGATTTGGGTATTAAAAATAGTTTTCAATGTAAAAAAGCATGCTTAACCTGAACAAAAATGGTAAAATTAAATTGTTCGGTTTTTACTAAAAGGATTGTTCAAAAACCAGCACAAGACCCCCCATTCCAAACTTCCCCAAAATTCTGGTTTTAACAGTGAAGCCATCTCCCATGCTACAAAAAAAATCACTAATTTTCTAAATTCTGCAAATTCTAAATTTAATAGTGTAGCAAAAATTATCAAAATCAAAGGCAAAAAAGGCAGCTAAATCTTTACGTTTTGCAAGCTGCAAGGATTAGGATTTATTAACATTCTGCTAATAGTTTTCTGAGCAATTACAGATTACTAACGTTAGCTCGTCTTTGACGGTTCCCCAGTTGTGTGATCCACTGCCACCACGCTTGTCCTCATGCTTTAGGCCGCTGAAATGTGAATGTGAAACAGAACTAACAAAACTGAGTTAACATTATAGTGTCCAGATACAGAAATTCAAAGGCAAATTTTAAAATGTGTTTTAATTGTAAAGAATAGTAAAAAAAGAAAAAAAAACAATAGAAAAAGTTAAAGACTTACGATCTATCGCTGCCACTATGTCTGTCAAATTCACGTTTGCCACGAGAGTCAAACCCATCTCCTCTGCCCATTCCACGTCCACGCCCGCGTCCTCTTCCAAGTCCACCACGTCCACGCATAGGTCGGTCAAGAATGGGTCTAGCATGGAACAGTCAAACTTGAGTATTTTACCTCCAAAAATTTACAGCATGGTTTTTCAGGTTTTCTTTTTCTCTTCTGAGAATTTTATTTACTTACTTTACCTTTGATAATTATTGTTCGTAACTGTGTTGAGGCTCTAATTTCAATGCCAAATTATTACACTGAAAAAACCCAAATATATAATGCCTGCGTCTTAGCATCTGGAAGCAAATGCTCAGAAGGATTACTGTTCATTTGCATCTTCTGGCACTAAATTCCAAAATTTAGCATTTGTATTGTGTCACATCACTAGCTGATACCACAATTTCAATTTAACTTACATTCATCCAACTTACTTTTAAAAGGATTTGGCTACTAAAATTTCAATATTTGAACATTACTTTCAGAACACTTGAATTCTGGATGCACATGAGGCACTTTAAAACTTGCCTAGACATAACATGGCTTCACCAATTCCAGATCTGAAGTCACAGCCACCAAGGTATAAACACCTACATGGACTAAGTTTTATTGGCTTGAAGTCAGTGTATGGATTTAAGCAACAGCTGTAACAGCAAACAAATCTCATCCTACATGCAACAGCTATACTTGAGTTCCTTTCCTGACCCATCTGCTATAGATTTAGAGAGATATGGCAGATATCTTACTGATTTAAATCGTATTTTCAGTTAAACCAATGGAACTGTTCATGTTAGATCACGCCCGGTCTATAACTTGATCCAAGTTTGTAAACAAAATCATGGAAAAGGAAAGAAAAGTGTTATATTCTGCATGACATATACTCTTCTTGTGACTGACAAAAATTTAATTCAATCAATTTAATTCTGATTCAGTCAGCTTTTTTTTTTTTTTAAGCTTAGTAGCAGAAGGCAGGACAGCCCCTTCCTATCAAAACTAGGAAAGTTGTGAGGCAAGACAAAATTCTTACTTATCAACAGAAAATTCTCCTCCTTCGCCCTTCTCATCAGCAGGTTTGTCAAAGCGGCGCTCACGAGGAGGTCGTCTCTCTGGTCTCCTGTCAATAGGCTTGCCTTCACCCTGCTGTTGCTGCTGCTGCTGCTGATCAGGCCTCCTGCCAATACGTCTTATCCCTGAAACATTAGGCGAAACACATCAACGGAATGTGGAGCTGCTCTGGGAGAGATACTGACTCTAACACCGTAAAACAGTATTAAAAGTAAGCTGAAATTGAAGTTTTTCTTCTAGCCTTGTGACTAGATAATCTGAGAAACTATACCTTTATAAAAAAGTCACTGTAGATCATTTGACTCTTCTTATTCCCATTTTTACGCGGCATTTCAATCAAACCGTATTTTGTACAAGTGTACACTCTTACAATATTGTAGGAAACAAAACCTGTCAGAGCACACAATACATTAGTAATCCGTGTTAAAATGACAGGGTCAACTTTCAAAGAAGGATCAAGGTAAGCAAGATATTTTTTTTTTCCTCTGAAAGGTGCTTTTCAGGTAAAACAAGTGGTTTTTATTTTGATGCGCACCAAAACGAAGTCAGCGACGCCACGCTGGACCCAAGTCCCTGTGACAGCCACCCTGCTCCATCCCACTGCGCTCTTCTTGGAAACTTTTTTGGCCAGCAGTACAACCCGGGGCAGAGTGTGCTCTCCCACAAGGGCCACCCGTACCCAGACAAGTCTCACTTGCATCCCGATGAGCAGGCAGCCCAGCACAGTAGGTACTGGTCAGTGACTAAATGGTGTGCTCATCCACACCAATCCTCGCAGATGCTCCCTGACAAAGACTCACCTCATTGTGCACTTACTTAAAATAGCTTAAGAATACACTGTGCCACTGAACTGGCTAGCGTTCTTCCCTCCCTCTCTATGCTTTCTGAAAGGTTTGGGTTTTTTTAAATAACAACTCCCCATGGGCATGATCTTCTTCACTAATACATCTGAAGGATCTTAAATACAGGAGTTTTTTCCACTCATTTGAAATGCCTGTTTACTTTTCTTTAGAAAGATCTGGATAAACACATTGCTCCTTTGTTATGCTATTTTCTTGCCAAAATGTTTAGGGAAAAAATAATAAGCAAACCATCAAGGCTGGCTTAAGAATTGTGAACTATCTTTTAAATTATAAGATGCCAATTTTAAATTTTTTTTTTAAAGAAATAAGTTCCTGCCTAACAAGCAGTGTCGTATTTGGGTGGGGCTAAAGAAGTTACAGTTGTAATGATATCCAAGCCAACACACCCAAATGAACAATGTCTTCCTCACCTTACAAGCTGTACTTAACGTGAAGTTTGCATGACATACATTGCTTGCTAAGTAATCCTTACTCCCTGAGGAAACACAAGGGTTAAACTCACGAACATTTACTTTGAAAAGGACTCTCAAACTAAGGATGACCATTTTATTTTAAGAGGTAAAGCTCAGCAGGGAAAGCAAACAGGCCAGTGTCACATAGGAGGTATGCTGCAGAACTGGAATGAACAATCCACGTCTTTTGAATTTCGAGTTCAACACCCTGCACTCAGAAAAACCTGGTTCCTGGTGAAACCTAACCAAAAATACAAGTTAATTTCTTTTTCTTGGTATCACAAAGCTTTGAACTGGTAATTCACCAGTCAGATAATCTGCACCTTTACAGAGTAGTGGAATAGTTTTAAACTGCAATACATTCATCCAGGATACAAACCCCGTCGATAACATGGCATCGAATGTTAGAACTACTGTCCCACACAAAAAATAGAAATTTTCAAACTGGAAAGTTACTTTGTTTACAGTGCTCATACACACTGCTACAAAAGCAGGCCTGACTCTCTGTTTCACTACTATAATAAGCCACAAAATACTTTCTTCATAGCGAAGTAGTGCTTGTTCTTGAAAATGAATGTGAAAACCGGGAGGTAAACGTGGACTGCTAGCCCTACCAAAAACCCTCTGCGTTCTCTTGTGTTGGCCAAAGACACTGCCCACGTTTCAGGTTTACCTCACATGGGACACCACCATAATCCTGTATCTGACTAATATTTCCAGAGGACACTGGTTTAGTAAATTGCCACTCGGGACAAATTATTGCATTCCTCACAAGGAAAAAAACTCAAGCTTCAAAGTACAAAAGATCCATAAGCAAAGCTTGTCACAAGGTGTTTTCAAATAACATTTGGGAGGCCCACTTTCTAAAACAACTAGTATATTAAAACTTTTTCTTTCTTAGCATAAAATGAGGTGGGGAATCATTTTCAACATGCACTGCAGTAAGCGCTAAAGTATTAAGATGCTTTCACGTAGCACTGTGCTCTTCTGAACTGTCCGCGTTTCTGAAAAGATCACTTAGCGTTAAACTGCAGTTAGCGAGTTATTTCCTCACCTACACGTCAACTGCTGTCACCACACTTTGATACATTTCAAGAGTATCTTATAATCTCACAATCTTATAATCTTATAACCTAGCATCTTATAATTTAATCAGAGTTCTGATCAATTCGACGTGCGCTGAAGTCTGTGTGCGGTACAACTGCCTGCCTTGGGACGACATGTGTGCGCAACATCTATCCCTCTTCATGCAGAGCTGTGTCCTACTAATTACTTTGCCCACAGCATATTCATTTAACCTATTTATACTCTGATTTCTTTTTTCAACGAAGTTTCCCGTGTGGGATGTCTTATGGGTTTACGCAAACACGGCTGAGAATTCACACAACCTATTACTAAAACACGTAAGTGATTCCTATCAACACCGTTCCCTAGAAAAATGACCCAAGTGACTTCTGAAGAGCCCGGGGGCTGCCAGATGTCCTGTCAAATACGTCAGGCCACCCGAAACACAATTTAAGTGTAGGATGCTTCTCTAGGATTTTCTATTTCACATTACTCCTCTCCGGCGGGCAGCCCCCCTCCTCCGTGCCCCGCCACGCGAGAACAGACGTTCCAGCACAGAGGCA